AAGCCACATGCATTGGTCTCCACTCTCCATAGCTACTACACTCTATGCACTTTACCATTCTTTTTAATCAAATTAATGCTCCCAGATTTTTAATTATTAAAAAACGACTCAAAATAAACACATGCATTTTAAACAAATGCTTAATTTTTCTATTTATAATTCTACTTTTTAAATAAAATAATTGAGATACTTTATAAAATTCTACTTCTACTTTTTAACTATTTTTATTTTAGAGGTCTCCTTCTTTCAATATCTCAGTTAAGTTCAAGGCCGTATCATTTTTGCATGTGCACACCCTTTTCAAAGAAGGATTGAAAAATGTTTTAATTTTATGTAAGTAAATTTAAGACAATTGCAAAGTTCACCTTTAATTAGTCCATATTTTAACGGATAATGATACTTGTGTTGCGTACAAACAAAGTCTCACATCGGATAAAATAAGAGATGAATATGAGTTTATATACACATAATATACCTCCATTGATAAGAGATATTCTGGAGTGATACCAACAGTAAATCTGTGAGGGCTTGGCTCAAAGCAGATAATATTTTATCACTGTGGAGATATCTATGTGTATGTGTGTGTTGTCCCTTTTTTAACATGTGTCGTTCTGTGATTGGTTTATGTTGATGTTGATGATTATTATTATTAATTGTGGAGTAATTTTAGACCAATCACAAAATGACACATAAACAATGTTAAAATGGTGTCAAAAAAATGTTATCAAAATATCATTATTCTATTTTAACTATCATCCTCTATTGCACAAGCACTATGTACCATGCTAGCAAGACATAGACCTCGTAAAAGATGCTTCACCTAAATTGAGATTGATTATTCATTCTTTCTATGCCACACAGCTACAAGTGAACACATGAGGATAGATGTTTTCCTAACTCATTAATTTCTACTTACCTTTTTTTAGTTCATTTGTTTCTTTATGTAGCGTATAGCCAAATTAACATTCCAAATTAAATAAAAAAAATTATCCACTAACTTTTTATAAAGAGTTAGTTAAAAATTATATTGAGATGATTGTCAAATCCACAAGAATAAATTTTACCTTATCCTCAAATTCCTAAAAAGAATGAAAGTTAATGTCGTTTTAAATATATAATATTTTTATCTTTTAGTTTAAATGTATTATGGGTTATTACAAGTAACAAAACTCAATTATCATGAAATCAACAAAATACCTTTCCTAAAAGGATATAATTTATGATTACGGTAGAGATATTAGAATAATCAAATTTAATTTTTATGAATAAAATAGGAAATGTTATTAATAATAAAGGTGATAAAAATATATTTTCTTCTATCGTTTCATCTCTATTAAATAAAGAAGGTTTTTATTTTTGTTTGATCAACAAATGTTAGTTATTAGTATTTTTCTTCTATCGTCTGCAAACATCATATTTGATATCTTAAGATATACATACAAAACATCATAATTGACACATAACCAATATTTAACGTACATAGTCCTTTTAAATATTTTAAACACTGAAATAAAGTGTTTTACATTAAAAATAAAAATAAAATAAACCCAAACTAATCATCAATACTCCCGATGACCCCAATTCATAAAAACTCCAATCAAACTTATAATATTTCACGTATGTAACCAATTCACTATATTGAATTTCCTTACTTTAAAATGATTTGTTAAAAAATAACACTTGTAAACTTTAAAGTATAAACTTTAATCTATATAATTAACACTTCCACTTATTCAAATTACTAAAAAGTTTTTTTTAATTAATTGATATAATATACAGGATAAAACTCCACAAACTAAAAAAAAAACGATATAACCAATTATAGGAAAGTGAAAATTTACCTTATCGAACAATCTTAATCTTAATCTATACACAATTTCTCCTGAATCTTGAATTCTAACAGTGAAAAAAGCAATAAACAATTAGTTTTAAAACTTCAAAAATATATAAAAATAATTTAGATTACAAAAATTCACTCTAATAATATCTTAAAAAGTAACATCTTTTACTACTTACTATCGTTTAATGATTTTTTGAACCAATATTATTTTAAGATGATTTATAGAAATCTAAACATGGGTTCACCAAGTGGTTGTGATCATTTTAATAACTCAATTAATAGGCTCTATTTAACATATCCTTAATTTTTGTTTTGAATTTCCTAATTAATATTTTAATTGATCTTAGTTAATAAAGTTCTGATCCGTCAACATTTGTAGCTTTTCAACATCAATTAATAATATTATTTATCACGTCAGTAAAGAATTTCATTACAGTGTCATTTTTTAGTACAACACAATTAGTCTTTTATCTATTTTATGAGTTATAGAAATAAATTTTATAAAAAGAAATAGAATGATTGTTCCGTCATCCCTTAAATGACATGACAATTGCCACTAATCCTTGGTGCAGTGACACAGATATATTAATACACAAAATATCAAGACAAATCAAAATATTCAATATTAAAAATAAAAAAAATAAAAACTTTACTGCGGTTGTTTTAGGAATGACAATAGCCTAACAATTTAACACATTCTCTGTTTGTTGGATATTTTAGAAAACATACGAAAAATCATTATGTAAGAAAGGTAAAAAATTCTCAATGATTACTCAAAATATAATATATTTCTTATGAATCCCTTTTCAGATTATTACACATTTTGTCCCAAAAAATAATTAAAATCATTATATAAGAAAGGTAAAAAATAAAATTGTTTCGTCAAATCTAAAAGTGTAGTATTTAATGTCAATCTCGTACAACCATTTAACAATTCATTTCGGTTTAAAAAAAAATTATTAAGCATGCAAAAATTTACATACAAATATTATCTGTTGTTTCACCTACACTTTTAATTATTTCATCGTATCACTTTCAATTTTCAAAAATAACTTCACATCTCTTATTAAATTTCAAAAGATATTTTTAAATATTTTATCGAATTTCAAAATACGATAAACAAAATGAAAAATCTTATCAAATTTTAAAATTTGATAAAAAAATAAAAAAGTATTTATTGGATTTTTGAAATTTAACGAAGAAAAAGTTTTTTAAAAATCAGTAAAACACAAAAGATGAGGTGTAGGGATTTTTGAATTGCAGGAAGAGTTTGAAAATTAAAAAGAAAAATTGGAAGTGCATTCATCATGGAGGTGAAGAGTAAAACAATCAACATTATCTTATTCTTACCCTTTCTATTGGCACCCTTATTTTATTAAACCTACTCCCATTCTCGGGTTTTGTTTCATCATTCAGAGCCCAAAATTCAATAAAATAAAAGCCCAAATCACTTTTGATAAATAACGCCTAACCATCCCTCTTTAACCTATTTCTCATAAAAAATATATTTCTACATCCTTAAAACTTTTCCATATAATTTTAATATGCACTTTTTTTTGCATCATTTACTGTTCTCTAATTTTGAATATATTAGAAATAAATAATACGAAAGAAATAAAAAGTATTTTTTTTTCTGATGTATACTACAATCAAGAAAAAGTTTTAAACCAATAAGTTTAAATAATTGAGCGCCTGAATAAAGTAATATAAAATTATGTATTTTATTAAAAGTTTTGAAATTAATCCATAATGTGTAGATGCATTAAATGTTAAAAATATTTTTACTTCATATATTACATTGTTTACTACTTAGTATATTCAAACGTGTGCATTCGGACGCGAAATTACTTTGTAGATAGGATAATAGTTTTCGTTAAATACATTTTTTTAGTATGCCTGTTTTTAATATTCTTTCTTTATAATTTTCCATTGTAATTTTAGAAGTCACACATGATAATATTTATGAAGAAATCAGTTTATTTATTTTCTTTATAATTAATTTGTAACCAAAAGTTATTTATCAATCTTTCTCAACGAGACAAAACTTAAACACTATATAAAAGATTGAGATTTTTAAACATTATGATACATACCAACCAGTATTCATTTTCTGTTGTTCCCGTGTTTTTTTTTTTATAGTTTTGATCTTTTTTTTTATCTTATTTCCATTTTTTTCTGGTTTTTATAGGTTTCAGTTATTTCTAGATTATTATTAATTACCGTTTACCAAAAAATATTACATGACATAACTTATTTTATTTTGGCAGAGTTCTAAGACAGTATATATCATTTTTTTGTAAAATTAAGAAAGCTCTTAGTAACATGTAAAATTGATAGGTCATATAAGTAAATTCTAAATTTAAGAAGAGACACTTATTTTATTTTGAATTCAATTATATATTGTTTTACATAATACATGTCTATAAATATTTAAAACAAAATTGAATACTAGATAGTGTTTCAACGAACTTCAATTTTTATGTTTGCTCCTTAAACTTCTATAATGTTTCATCTCTAAAGACTTAATTTCGCGACAAGGATTTTATACCTTCTCTTTTTGCTTATATTTTTTTTCTCCGAAAATATAATAATACACAAAACAATGAACTAATTATTAGTGTTTTTTTGGTGCAAGATTTGAAGTCATATAACTATACACAATTTTTTTCAGCATATATTTTATAGTTCACGTAAATTCCACGAAAAGATATAATTTCAGTCTATTCGATAAAAATCAATTACTATTTCTAATATATATACATATTTCTGTAAATATATCCAATTTTCGTTTTTATAGAATAGTATTAACCAATATTTGGACATGGGTCTTGAAGTGAAAAGACCCAATTCCCTCATTTTATGTTTACAAGGCCATTTCTTTCTGTAGTTCCATAATTTTAGTTTGCATTTCATAAAAGATTATACATTCTAAAATATATATACATTCTAAACTAAAAATATAATATTTTATATTTTGAAATACACACTCTAAAATGTATGACCAAACTATCTTGGAATTGATAGTTTCCTAAACAAAAACTGACCACAGAGAATTAGAGAATATCAAAAGTAAGGCACATGAATCAATCATCGTAGACGGCTCTATTGATATATGTCGCTCACTAAACCAATCTTGAATACTTTACAAAATAGAAATGTCAAACAAACATAGAAATAATTGACACAATTTGTCAAATTGGTAGGTGGTAGGCATCTCACCAAACATGAAGAATGTACAAGGCAGGGTTTATTTACAATATTTTTTCACCAATAAATTAAAAAAAAAAAAAATCTTTCTCTTCTCTTTTGAATGTAACTAGACTAAATTGAATATCGAAGAAAGAAAAGAATAGAAAGAAAGTGGATTGAGCATCAAAATTCCCTGGAAGAACTCTGCCAGACCTCAACACATTGTTGATCCTTTCTGGTCAAGAACATGGTGCTTCCTCCAAAGGCCAAATTTGTGATCTTTGCACCACCCATGTCCCTCATTCTACCCATCAAGTTCTTCTTGAATATCCTTCCACCATTGCCACCACCCATGATAACCTCAGACCAGAGCTCCACGTCACCACCCTTGGTGCAAAACACTTGATTCCCCTGCGTTTCGATTTTCGACCCAATCCCTTCCTTTTTCCCACTGTTCGTAACCTTTCTTTTATCCCCAAGACAAACCCACGCGCTCTCGGTGCTCAAATTCCGCATGTCCACGTAAGAAGCTTCGCCCGAATTCACCCCAACCTTAAAAATTACCGACAACGGATCGCAAACCGCCACGTCAGCGAAACAATCCACCTTCTCAGAAATTTCCCACACAACGTTTCCGGATCGAACATCCCACAACCGTATGTTACCGGAAACGCCGGAGGGACCGCTGTGGGACCCAGAGGCCATCAACAGATTGTAACCCTCAATCCACTGCAACTTCGTCGCGGGAATTGCCGAATCGATGTCTGCGCCGAAGATTTCGTTGTGACCGATCTCGGTGACGGGGGTTAGAGAATGCAAATCGTAAACCATTATGGAATTGGAGTTTCGGCGCGAGGATTCGAAGCTGACGAACATGTTTTCCGAGGAGGATCCGATGGCTTGGACGGTGGACCCGGATTTGGTGACGTTTTCCCAGTTTAGGGTTTCCTTGACGCGGCCGTTCTCGAGGTCCAGGATCTGGAGGCCGGAGAAGTCGTTGGCGCCGGCGGCAACCAGTGTTGGTGAGAGCGCCAGGAGGGAGTCGACGGCTGTGAAGTGGGTGAGGACGGTGGCCTTGCGGCGGAGGGACCAGTCGAAGGAGGTGATCTTGCTGCCGTGCGCGACGTGGAGGGCACCGCAGGCTGCGTCGGCTGCGAGGGCGGAGGGGGAGTCGCGGCCGTTGAGGGGCAATAGGAGGGATTTTTGGAGGTTGAAGGGTTCCAATTGAGAAGGGTTAGAGAGGGAATTGATGAGGAGGCTTTCGATGCCGTAGAATTTGGACTCAATAATTAGGTCTTGGAGATCGAAAGCTTTGGCCTTTGAGGGAAGGTTTCCGGTGCGGAGGAGAGAGAGAAGGAGCGAAAAGATTTCCGGGTCTCTGTCTATGAAGGGCGCGTAGATTCCTGAAGACTCCGCAATTCTGGAGAAGAAGGTTTTGGGACCAGCCGAGGTTAGTGTCTGTTTGGTGGTTTGGAAGAGTTGGCCTCCGACGTCGATGGAAACTATGTTGGAATCGGGCTTGGGGAAGCCAGCTGGTTCAGAACCTGCAAAAGGTGGCATTTTTGTTGCTGTTGTTTTGATGCGAATATCGTAGAATGAAAGAGAGAAGAGGAGTTTGTGGTGTTATTGGAGTTAGGAAATGGAACGAGGATGTTTGGTAGATGGAGAAAAATGAGGGGTTATATATATATATATTATGATGGTTGACACAAGAGAAATGGTGGCTTTTGGTGTGGCTTAAGTATAGGATCGGGTGGGACTCTAGAAGGAGAAATGCCCAAAAGTCTCGGGGTGGGTCAATCAAAGATTGTCCACTCTTCTAGATTTGCATAATTGCATTGCATCATTGCCAACGTGTTTTTCTTACACTTTCTTTTTAGATGAAAACATTATATTATTGCTATCTTTCGCCGCCCAACATGGACCGTTTGGATTTTGACGAGAGACTATAATAAAGGTAATATATTCAGAGAACTGCGGCCAGGATCTTTCTACTCTACTACTGGCCGTTGTTGCACGTTTTTTTAAATTTCAACGGCTGGGTCAAATTTGGTGCCCTTAGGATTTCGACTATTTTTAAGTTTGTTTTACGAAGGAGAGTTTGTTTGACTATTTGACCACCTAACATTATTGATAAACTAATAAATATAATGTTTAAAGATTTTCCATCAAACTAGTTTTAGTCAGCAGATCGAATTTTTACGACCTTATGGCTCGGAGATTAGTAAGAAGATACAGAAACAAAAGATCAACCTTGTTTCCAATATTGGTTAGTCAGTTTAATTTCTAGATATGTTATTTATGTTTGAAAGCAACTGGGTCCTTAGTGAAGAAATGTTTTTTTAATGTATACAAAACTAATAAAAAGACACGTTTAATATAATGTTATGTTTTGATACCTTGCTTCTGTAAAAAAAAGTATCGATACTTTGCTCAGTCTAGGATTGACCTTTTAAATATAAAAATGTATTTGTGATTTTCAAAAAGATAAAAGATGTGATGGTCAGGCGTGCACACCAGAACTAGAAGATGGAAACATCTAGGAAAAAGGTAAGTTTTGTCTGAACTGGACCTGAAGTTGCTCACTTAGGCCTGTGAGGAAGAATGTGCTGGGCCTTTTACTGTTCCTCGTTATACTCCCTTCACAATTCAAATGAACCTAAGTGGTAGTGTATTTGATTTTAATTTTGTGTACAATCAAACCAAATCCAGTTTAAAACAAGGCATATACAACTTTAAATTCAAATTAATATAACTCTTATTATGATGTAAAGTTAGTTGAGTGATTATTAGAATCAATTAATATATATATATATATATATATATATGAGATGTTGTTCGATTTAGAGATTGAAATTTCAATTATGATTTTATCCTTAAAAGGTATTTCAGAAAGTAAAAAAGTATTATCGGTAGAGGCATAAGAATGATTGGTCATCCTTAGTGGAAGACTTATCTATATATCCAAGTATTGTCTATTTTGGAGTATTGTTTGTCATAGTTTTATTTTTAAAAGACGTCTCGAAAGATGGATAGAGAAAAAAGTATTTAAACTATGCTTGACCTCGATTCTAAACGATGTGAGACTACTGGGTATGGTACAAACAATTTTTTTTAACACCAATCTCATTATAATTTTGGTATTTCAATTAAAAACATCTTAAACTTAGTTTTAAAATCCATTATCCCAATAGTTTGTTAGAAGTTATTTATGTCACATGGTTCACCTAGACTCACTTTGACTTAATTGAAAAAAAAAATAGTATATTTAATTATGGGTTGCCATCCCATTATATAATTTAAAATTAGGCAACTTTTTCATAAGATTTTTAGGATGGGACAAAGTAGGAGACATAGAAATAAAAGTTGTGAGTGTCTTTGATGAGAAAAGAAAAAAAGTCATCAAGGAGTGAAGAAGAAGAGAGAAATAATCATATTTCTTTCTAAAATGTTTTACATAATCATATTCTTAATTTCTTAACTTTGCATCGGATTTCTTTTTGTAACATCCCAAAAATACAGTTTAAAACTATATAATAGAATAATCACATTTAATAATAATACAAATCAGTCTTACACTAAAGAGAACGTACGGTTATGGCCAAATGGCCTTACAAAGAGCTACAAACTTAAACTGTGCAAGATAAGAAATTTTGACCGAACGATTTACAAAAAAAAACATCGGACGATCATACAAAACGAAAGGGAGAAGGTGATCGATCGACCACCTTACAATTAAACTAAACTACTGACCGTACGTCCTACTGTTCGGTCTTCACTTCTACTTCTACCAAATTTTCTTCTTCCAGTGCCTCTTCCAGCAGCTCGTCTCCTTCTGCTCACATCCACACGGATGATCATTGCAACGACAAGGACGGACGTACAAAACCAGACAACATAGGAAAAACACATGGTAAGCTTATGTAATTTAATTCAAGTAAAAACATACATTTCTCACATTCAAACACATAAGATACATTTCAACATACGTTTCAAGCAAGGCCTACTACTAGACTGACTGTCCGGACTGTATGAAATCTGTGTAGCTACGACGTTCGTGCACCCAGGTGATGTAGTAACTGGGATGCCCTCAACAGCTGCCACCCGAGGTTAGTCTTATCTGTCCAAAGTACCCCTAAGGACTAGGACCTTCTGCCGTTCCCACACATGACCTACCCTCCTCTACGTGAGGACGAGTACTCACGCAACATCAGGATGAACCGCTAGCTTAGCATTACCACATTCATACTTTACAAATTCCAATATTCATTCATGAGTCGTTTCTCTCCGGAACGCTCGTTCAAAATCCACAATATTTCATCTATCTCATATTCTCTTCATCTTTCATTATCCATCATTTTAATTTCATCTTTGTTCACCGATTTTAAGAACATCAAATATCGAACGTTCAGTCCTCACTCAGAACGAGGATGAACACTAGGAACGAAATAGAGAAGTCTTCCGTTCCAGAATAGAATAAGACCGAGAGAGTTACTGTCAGGTTGAGAAAGAAACCGAGTACAACTATATGTCACAAGAACGAACGTTACTTACAACATGAATCAGTTAAATGAACTGACTCTAGTGAGCTCAAACCAACACTCAAAGAACATATCAAGTACTGAGGCTCTAGGCCGGAACCAATGAATGTAGACACGTCAAGACGTTTAAAGAACCACACTTTAGAAGAATTCACATACATAAACCTAATGCCAGTCAATGACCGAACACGGTAAAGGGAAATTCTACTGAAGTTGGACGAATGCTATTTCATCAAGATAGATAAAACCATAAACGAGTACAAGCGCTTGGTATAAGACCGAGCACTACTCATTTCGAGAGTTGGTGAGACCGAGCACTACTAAACTTATAATAGAAAGATTAATAAATATACTAAGATACTATTGGAATTGTGTTTAAAATAACTAAAATATACAAATACATATATTTACAAAATTTAAGTTTATCACCAAATACTCAGATGCAACTACGCTTGGCCGAACGCTCAAGCATAGTATTACCACACGAAGGCGCTCGTCCTCAATTAGGATTCTTTCCAAATGAAAGAATCCAATTTTAACCAAGGTTACTAATATTACCGAACGGTCAATGACCGTTCAATGACGAACGTACACTATCATAGGGAAATTCATATCCAGAACTCATTTATCTTCAACTCATTTCTCAATACATAATTTCATAACTTTATAAATTCATATCATAATCAATTTGCATACTTCGTACAATCCATATCATATTAATTAATCATATTCCACATAAACAATCATATCAGCATTCATACTTCATATACATTCAACCACTCAGCAACATACATTCATTATCAACGAACGAGCAACGAACATACAATTAAATTAGATAAGTTTCCCTTACCTCTGAGCGTGAACGAACGTCCTAAAGACAGAATACGTTTTGCGTGACTGAAATTCCTTCTACCCTTACGTTCCACCACTTTTTAAACTAACCAAACAGCCAAAAACCAAAAGTGGTTCAGTCAGGATAACAACATGCAACCGGTACTTCGTTTGCATGTACCAGAGAACGAATGGCTAAGGACAAGGAAACTTACCAGTTTCAGAACTCGAAACTGTTCGGTTCAAATTGAAGCTTGGGTCGCCGAGAGTGCTCCTACAGTGCCTGAACGGAGATCGGAGTAGAGAAATGGTGAGTTTCGGTAGGAAGAAGGAAGAACTTTTTAGAGAGAAGGAGGAGAATTTGAAAGATCAGGGTTTTGGAGAAGAATGTGCATGCAGAGAGTGTGACGCAACTTTCCAAAAACTCAGTTTTGTTTAAAACGGACATCCGCTCAACTACTGACACCTGCATTCCACTATCTGATTTTTGAATCTCATTGCTTGACATCTGGCGTCCGTTCAGAGGGGTTTTGGGTGCGTTTTTAATGGTTCTGACACTTTTCAAATAATTTCACCTACAATCATATCATTATTTAATTTTATTTTTCTAATTTATTTGACCAAATTTTTTAGATAAATTATTTTAATCAAATAAATATACATCTCTCAAATTTAATTTTACAAAAAAAACACCCATAATTTCAGTAATATTATTATCATAATTTTCCGATTACCAGAATTAAAATATATTCAAATTATCTTATTTATTATTTTTATTCTTCGAATCTTTTATTCCTAACATATTTATAAATATTAAATTAAATATATTTTTTAATTTCAATGTTACATCGAAATTTCAAATTTATAATAAATTATTTTTAATAAATCAATATACAATTAAAAAAATTTAATAAAGAAACATTTTCTTAAAATTATTTAATTTCTTAAAAGAAAACAGCTACTTAGAATTGGTCTCCCATGAAGCCGAGTTCTAGTTGCAGCAAAATGCACAACACAGATAAATTTCTTCATCAGAATTCGTCTCTCAGAAAAGGAATTCCCTACATGAACAGAGTGAAGTGATCTATTGTGGGAAATAAATTCTCTTGAGGTCCAATGAAGTTAATAAATTTAACAATTAGTCCATTCGAGAGAGTAATATACAAGTCTCAGTTTTGAAGGAAACCAAACAAAGATTCTGTTTATTTTAGGAAACGTGTCTTTTACTCAAGAACATCATAGTCCAAATGAGGGAATCCATCTTCCAATTTTTAATCAGTTCGATCAGAGTTAATCCTGTATTTAACTATGCTGAATTTTTACAATCTGTCTGAAATCTAATAACAATACAAATGTTACCAACATTTGATGACGTTGGAAAGTGAAAGGTCTCTCATGAACATCCACTTTTCAAGGTTCCAGTTAACTAGAAGGTTGAATTCCCACGCACGAATTTTAACCTTGGACCAATGTTTCAAGTTTGGTGTATTCATACAATCCAACAATCATGATCATTAGTCAACTATATTACATATATATAATCGTAGAGGGTACATATGCTAAAAATGTACAGCTATTTCTAACACAAACTTGGTAAAAACTACAACATATATTAAGCAAACTACCATTATTTTTTTCGGGGCCATTAGATTCAAAAAAGAACCCCATCACTGTGTTAGACTTGCAAATCTTAATTTACTATGATTCAATCTAGCATGTGTGTGTGCTGTTGGGTTCTGTCAAGCATATCATGGCACAAAATAAAAAACCAATGCCAAATTCGTGAATCATTGTGTGAGTCTTTAATGGTTAGCTGACACCAGGTTGAATCATTGGGAAAAAGGTCCAATCTTTGGTGGCCCCTCTCTCCTTCCCTGCAACTTTCTCATTAGCCCACCAGTCAGCAACTATATTGGGAGCAAGAGAATCCCCTCCATCTGCTTTATCAAAATTGAATTCTTTAGCACAAGTTAAAGACTGATCCTTCTCGTGAACTCTTGCATCATCTCCACTCAAATTAGTTTCCAGCGGTTGATCACTGTGAGTTTCAGCAAGGACTTGTTTCTCGTTGGACCCGGTTTCTCCAAAATTATCTTCTTTTTCTGCTGCTGTTGGAGAATCGTTTTTCAATTTCGACACGACCTTAGTCCACGCCGATGCTGCTGGGTTGTTTTCCAGAGATTCCAAGACTTTCTGGGCAGATATATCAAATGAAACTCTATGATTTATACTGATCTCATTAACCCGATTGTTGCTTGGACGTGGGGACATTTTGATCTCAGAAACCCAATGATTTGAAAGAAAACCGGGTTGAGCTGTGGACCTTGCAGCATCAGGGGTGAGCGAGCCGGAACCTTGGTTTGACTTCCTGTTTTCATAAGCAGAAAGTTTATCAATGCCGAGAAGCTTGGGAGGGTCTGGTCTTTGGAAATCAAGAATATGGGAGAGAGTGGCATTAATTTCAGAGTCAGGGAGCGGCGATGAGGCGCCGGAGGCAGAGATGGCGGATCTGGGTGATATGAGTTGACCAACTGGACTTCCGGGGTGAAACTGATAGGACTGGAAGTCGTAGTGAGATATTTGGAAGCGGTGAAAGGTGTCGGAATTCCTGTTGTTGGGGTCAAGAAGCTGAGCAAATGGAACCTCCGGCGAAGAAGGGGTGGTCAAGTGGACAGATTCGGGAGGTGGGGTGAAAGGAGCGGTGGATGAAGCCGAGAAAACAGGTGGTGATACTAATTGGGTTTCATGAGCAAAAGGGCCAATGGCAAAGATCGAAGCAGGACCACCAGGAGAGTACATGCTGGCAGAGATACAAGTGTGGGAGATTTTACCAACCGGTGAGTGTGCGGTTGAGGGAGGTTCTGATTGAAAGAAAGATACCGGAGATGACGGAGGGGCGGCGAAGGGGAGTGTTATGCTTGCTGCTTGTGTTGAACTGACAGCTCCGGCAGGATCAGCTCCATTGGTGGCTGTTTCTGGAACAAGGATCGCATGTCCAATGCGCTTTCTGTTTCTTTGATATCCAAAACACCCAATTTTGCTCAACCAGCTTCCCCATCCTTTCTTCTGCAACCAAAAATACCTCAATTAAACGTAAGGAATCAAACAACTCTCATACGTATAAATCAGGGCAAACACCATCAATTGGAAATTCATTCAGTAAATAAAAGTGACAGGATTTCGATCCTCCCAAATAATTTCGGTGTTCATTAATCCCGTTATTGAAAAATACCAAAAGAAAACGAGAAAGCCAAACAATCATACTGAATTTTCAATTCATAACTTATTTTGTTATTTTTATTTTTTTCATTTCTCTAAACTGTGCAAGTAAAAAACTCCGCTTCCAGATAGAAGACTTCCACAATTAAAAACAAAACAAAAACTATTCCAAAGTATCAGTACTAACTCGTCAAGAAAACGACTGATATCAACCAAAAGCATTCACAGTGAGAAAAACCGAGGAGTTCCAACTTCACACGCTTTGGTATTACAGAAGGCAAAGACCAAGCACAGGAAAATCCTAACATTGTTCAATTATTATTATTTTTTCTTCTGCACGACCTTACTCTCTCGAAAACGAAAAGTTTGCTACTTTATTTGCTCGTGCACAAGGGGAAAGGAAAAAAAAAAAGATCTCTTCTTTCGGAAAAAAGATCAATCAATTATAAAATACACTCATCCAAACAGCTTGCCGTTCAACAAAAAACCGAAGCCATAGCAAACCTGAAGAAAAAGGAGCCCAGAGAAGCAGAAGGGTATGGCAAAAAGAATGAAAATGATCGAAAGCGAAAGAAGTGTGAAAAAAAAAAGAGAAAGATGGGAATACCTGGGTAGGAGGTTGAGAAAGGCGGTCGTGGGAAGCAGAGGCTATGGCAAAAGCAGCAGCGTTAATAGTGTCGAAAGTGTTGTCAGCATCAGTCGCACGAATCCCTCTCATGTCTGTCTGTGAGCGATGAGAAAAATGTTGGGGTGAGAAAAGAAGGGCGTTGGAAGCATGAGAGACGAAGGGGTTATGATATGATAGTGGAGAATCAAATCTGAGTTTATGTGTTGTGGTGTGGTGTTGTGTTGAGGCGTGAGTTGCGTTGGCGTGTATTTGTGTCGTGTATGAGTACAACGCTGTTATGAGTTGAGGTCAAACACGGCAATGACTTACTCCTCATGTGATTAACGAAGACCCAGTTCTTGCTTTTTTATTTATGCTTTTTTTTTCCTTTTTTACCAAACTACCCTTCACATTTTCTTATATAATTTTATACATGCAAATAAATTCAATAAGTAATTCAAAAGTATCACCTAATATGGGTTAATTGTAGAAACTGATTTTATTATTTGTTAAATATAAATAAATAATTGGTGTTGTTGATGGAGAGAGAGAGAGAGAGAGAGAGGAGTGGTTGTTTACGTTAGCGGGAGTGCACGTGTGCACACCCATTTTCTGGATGACTTTGGTTTCGTGCGCAGCACCATCCCACTCACCTCTGTGGGCCCAGCTTACCAATGTGGGACCACCATAGCTCGTGTGGGCCCAATCTTCTTCTCCCTTTTCCCTCTTTTACCAGCCCTGCCACCACTTTCAAATTACTTGCACGAATGCTCAATCTCCATTTTTTTATTTATTTATTTATCACTCATTTCACGATGGGATAATATTATTAATTATTCTCCCTCAAATTCAGGCCCTAAACATCTTTATGATCCTAACTCAAATCTTTTCATTCTCTTTTTCTTCGTTAAGCCTTTTTTATATCATCATTAGCGTACCCTTTTAGTCTTTCTTTAATTCTCTCATCAGAAATATGGGGTCAAGTTTTCGGTGGCTATTTTGATACCGATACAAGAGTATTTTTCATCAAAAATAGTTGGGTTGAAGTTAGATAGAGTAGAGCATAATAAATTAGTTTATCTAGGAGACAAATTCTTTAATTTTCTTAAGTTAATATGGGTTATACAAGTGTTAAGAAAAGTTGATATTTTGAAATGATAAGAAATATTTTAGCTGTGAATATGTTGGTGTTTTGTCTTTAGGAAATGCATGAAAAAAAGGTATTTTATGTGAATTTGAGTTGTCTACGAGGTTGAAATTTGGGTGTGTGGTTGAACTAACATGCTTGGAAAATACAAAGCATGAAACAACTCCCCCGTTTTGGAAATTGGGTTTTTAGCTAAAAGGATAATTTCTAGAACTGTAGTCTTTTCACTCCACTCTTGTGTTGCCACGAGTAATGATTTTTTATTTATTTTCTTTTTAATTTTCATCTTTATGTTTGACAAAACCAACGGGAAGAAAAATCAGATCTCTAACGTGTCATGTTTATGAATATTAAATATTAAACTCACATGGATAACAGAAAACTTAAATAATCAATTTATTTGATGTATAAAAAGAAAAAATTAGAGCTTATCCAAAAGAAAAATGCTCGAATTATATAAGTAAATAAAGTGAAATGGTTTGAGAAACAGTGTGTTCACTACTAGGTTTGTAACGAAAAGGCAAAGCTTTGACATGTGATTGCTTTTGTTTTTTGCCTCCCAAAAGTAATCCTAAGCTTTTTAATTATTACCCTATGTCTACATGTTCTGCACTTCGTTTTAGATTTTTTCTTTTTCAAAATAAACTTCATCAAGAGNCCCTCAAATTCAGGCCCTAAACATCTTTATGATCCTAACTCAAATCTTTTCATTCTCTTTTTCTTCGTTAAGCCTTTTTTATATCATCATTAGCGTACCCTTTTAGTCTTTCTTTAATTCTCTCATCAGAAATATGGGGTCAAGTTTTCGGTGGCTATTTTGATACCGATACAAGAGTATTTTTCATCAAAAATAGTTGGGTTGAAGTTAGATAGAGTAGAGCATAATAAATTAGTTTATCTAGGAGACAAATTCTTTAATTTTCTTAAGTTAATATGGGTTATACAAGTGTTAAGAAAAGTTGATATTTTGAAATGATAAGAAATATTTTAGCTGTGAATATGTTGGTGTTTTGTCCTTAGGAAATGCATGAAAAAAAGGTATTTTATGTGAATTTGAGTTGTCTACGAGGTTGAAATTTGGGTGTGTGGTTGAACTAACATGCTTGGAAAATACAAAGCATGAAACAACTCCCCCGTTTTGGAAACTGGGTTTTTAGCTAAAAGGATAATTTCTAGAACTGTAGTCTTTTCACTCCACTCTTGTGTTGCCACGAGTAATGATTTTTTATTTATTTTCTTTTTAATTTTCATCTTTATGTTTGACAAAACCAACGGGAAGAAAAATCAGATCTCTAACGTGTCATGTTTATGAATATTAAATATTAAACTCACATGGATAACAGAAAACTTAAATAATCAATTTATTTGATGTATAAAAAGAAAAAATTAGAGCTTATCCAAAAGAAAAATGCTCGAATTATATAAGTAAATAAAGTGAAATGGTTTGAGAAACAGTGTGCTCACTACTAGGTTTGTAACGAAAAGGCAAAGCTATGACATGTGATTGCTTTTGTTTTTTGCCTCCCAAAAGTAATCCTAAGCTTTTTAATTATTACCCTATGTCTACATGTTCTGCACTTCGTTTTAGATTTTTTCTTTTTCAAAATAAACTTCATCAAGAGTTCAACTTTCTTATAACAAAATTATGTGATACTATTTATTGTTAAGAATTCAACTCTTCAGAAATAGAATTTCTCCCTGTGAACAAGGAGTCTAATTAAAAAATTATAATGAAAATAAAATTATTTGAATAATTTAAAATATATATCTTTTGCAAAAAATATTTTTTTAAAATATATTTATTTTAAGCATCACTATAAATAATTTTCTTAATCAATTTTTGTTTTTATAGATCCTAAACATGGACCTTTTTGACATGTTGCAAGATCTTTGTGATTTTAAAGTTTTTGACATATTTTCCTTAGGATTGAAACACGAAAGAATATTTATCTGTAAAAGACTCTTTAATTCAGTAACAAAATTCAGATATTGTGAATGCGTATGAGAATGATTGAGTATTCTCTACAGAATATTATATGTATTTATAAGATTTTTAGGTATTGAGCTTATGTTATAAAATGGGTAAAGTGACATAAAAAATGAGTAAAATAAACACTTACTTCAAATAGCTAATAATAATGACATGATATCTTATCATAAATAATAACAATAATATCAAATTGACAAAATTGGTTACGATTACCGTTAATATAGGAATATTTCTCTAATAGATATATTTTGGGACTAACCCAAGATAATGAGAGTTATTGAATCTTGTTCCATCTCATTCTTTAGCATGTTTATTGGATCAGATAGGTACAATTTATTTTTAACAAGACAATATACTTTTTTAATTAGGAAATTGATTAGAGGGTACTGAAAACATCTGCATTTAAGTGTAGATATTGTTTTTAAAACAAAAAATCCTACATTTTCATTACTTTAACACATAAGATCTATAAAATACAAAAATAATTTATCTATACAACAAATATTCACTAACATAGAATCAATAATCTTTCATTGTTTCACGTCCCTTCTATCTACACTATCTTCTACTCATATATAACACACAATCATTGTAGGTAGATAAATCACAATCAAACACTAAAAAAAGATAAATTAGCGTGATTATAAAACCAAGTATATAATTTATAAATTATCTCACAGGTCTCATCAAATTTTAATTTAACCATTTTAATATTTCTCCATTGATTATATTTGTATTTGATTTATTTGTATTTGATTCATGTACATATTTGTTATCTACATTTAAGTAAAACCTCTTTTAATATCTTTGGAAAATTAGTATGATGGGTGAGTTTATATTAGTTAGGAAATAGGCTTATTAAAGATATAATTAATTTATTTTGCATCTTAATTATTTTAGTGAAAATAAAGTGTTTGTTAGCACTTGTATTAGTTAAAAGGGATCAGGTATTCCCTATGTTAAAAAGTTGTTTAAATTATGTAAATATAAATATATATTTAATCATAAACATTATAAAAAATTTATTTACATTTTAATTTTTGTAATAGGTATGCCCTATATTTAAACTGTTTAAATATTTAATTTATTTGTTTGTTAAATTATATAAGTTAATATTATAATTTTTAATTAATAAATTTATAATAGTATTTAGTAAAATAAATAAACAATTTGATTATATTGTTGTAAAAGAAAAGTAGGTCAAGTCTATTTAGTTTGATGGTAGTCCAATAAATATATAAAATATAAAGAAATAATAAAATATATTTAAGTGAGTCAACTTATTAAATCACCAAGGTGTAATGAATTTAGCTTGATCATAAAAATTTTGATTCATAAAAAGAAATTAGTTAAACAGACTCATTTTTAGTTTAATTAGTTGTAAGTCAACTTATATGAATCAGATTAAACCACTTCAACACTTCTACCATTCTCATGTCAATACTAGTTTTTGTTTTTATATTTTTATTTTAAATTACTAAATTATTTATGATTTATTAAGTAATTTAGCAAACTTATATTAATTTTTTATTATTATTAGTTTGTGTAAATTATTTTAAGACACAATTTTAATCATTTTTATTTATTTTTTATAATTATATGATCTTTATATCACACTAATATTTGATACTCTTATTAGATATTATATAATTATATTTTTCTTCATATAATTTTGATAATAAACATTTATAATATTATATTTTATTTCTTGTAATTTTTATTTTATAAAAGAAAAGTATTTAATTAATATTTGAAATATTGAATAGACGACTATGAACATGGATACAAATATACTCATTCTCAATTCTCAATTATAATAGGGATAAGACAAAAATAACATATTCCATCACTATTAAAACAAAAATGAGAATAAATATTTATTTTAAGAATGAGAATAAAATACTCCTACATTTATCCATCACTACTCTTTTTCTTTTCTTTTGTCTTTTCTTGAAGAAAAAGAAATAGTTAAAGGAAATGAAAGTATTTTACCTTCCTTTTTCATCCTATTTCGGGTAAATTATCAGTTCCTATAATTGGATTATAAGACAATACACTATAAGAAGAAAATTGTGAAGGGCTATGTTGCCTAGGTTGTCATGTTTTGATGCCATGAAACATGGTGATTGTCATTTTGCCAGCATGTGATTATAGTCTAAATGTAATTAATTAATTAATTTTTTTTATTGCTTGA